TACCATGTGTGGCGCCCAATCTTTATCCTGGTCACCAAGTTTAATACCAAAATAAGCATGGTAAGCACGNCTTTATGAAACATGTGACTTGATTCCTGTTATGAACAAGTGTGTATTCACCGCAGATATAGCAAAATACGTCGGGTTTATTTTTACAAGATCTTCTCTTGGAAGCCATGTCGTTCGCTTGCGATTCGTTTGCAACTGATACCTATACTAATGCAATCTGCTATCTGGCTCAGATTTGGAAAATGCTGACGTAACTATCCATAGTTATACACAGCCTCGTCCGGGCATGTCTGCGATTGTCTGATCACGTGACTGTAGTTACGTGATTTAATGCATTGAACGTGTGTGTGTGTGTGTGTGCATAGGGGAAACATAAAAATACCAATTAATTAAAAATTGCAAATTCCTCATAGTGATGAAGTGATTAAGAACAAAGCATCACATACAGCGAAAATACCTGGGACTGTACACAAAAAAGTGAAAATGAAGATATGGCCATAGCTTAGAAAGTTGACCTGATCTAGAAAAACCAATGTGATATTTGGATTCAGGACATCAAAATTTCCATAAATCAGCCGAAAGACCTTAGGAAATTTTTTGGGTGTTGACCAGTGTTATCAATAAATAAAAGCGTATTCATCTTGCTAGCTATGTACAAACCTGGCTCAGCTCCAATAACAGTTTTGTTTTATGATGATCTGGTTTCAATTTTGGAGTACTTAACAATTTTAAACTCAGACATCTTATTGAAGGGTGACTTCAATTTGCATGTTGAGAGAACTTCTGATCCCCGATCTATTCGTAAATCATGTCAACGTTCCTACACATATCCTAGGAGGTACATTGGATTTAGTTGTCAGTTCACATGACTTTCCAGTACTTAATGCTAAGATCTATCCTAGTGGAATAATTTCGGATCACAGTTTCATAAAAGTAGAAACAATGATTGTTCGGCCAGCAAAACAGTAAAACAGTGATGAAAACAGGTCATGGAAAACAGTAGATGAAGAAAAATTCATTGGTGCTATTTTAACTTCATCAGTACATGAGTATCTAA